TCTAAAGAATATTACATCAAGTTAAAATCATTAGCAAACGGTATTTAAATTTGGTTTAAACTTGTGTATTAAAGTCTTTTTTAAAAAGCAGTTTTATTAAGGAAATTTCCTAAATTAATCAGTTTCATAAACTATTAATTTTATATGTATTCGACTTTTGAAAGTAATAAAGTATTCCTTAGTTATTTTTTAACAACAAGTAAATGCCATTGACTAATAAAACAAATGCGGCATGCAAACGATTCTTTATTGAACTTTTCGAAGGACTTCGCTTACTTTATTGAACTTTTCGAAGGACTTCGCTTATTTAAATTCACGATAGACATCAGTAATTAACACCTATTGAAGGTTCTAAAAAATTCATACGATTTCATGTATTAAATTTACTGCGATTATAACCGAAGATAAATCTCATTAAATATTAAGCAGATTTACAGATTTTCAAAAACCCACAATTTTTTAATTTTTCTTAGAGATTAAGCGTATTTCAGCAGGTTAAACAAATTTAATAAACCCGTTCTTAAAACACTAAGATTAATAGAATATGTTATTAAGAATATATCATTTACTTCATAACTATTTAATATTATGCATTCAACATAACAATTCAAAAAAAGTATTTGCATTTTATCTAAAAATTAGAATACGAGAGCTGGTGACACACGCACTTTGTATTAGAATCAAGAAATATAAATATTACAAATATTATTCAAAATAAAACAGTAAATTCTACCGGAAAATTTAAAATTCAATGTTTTTATAAGTTAAAAGAAATCAGATACTATAAAACGAAATCGCAAGAAATAATTTCCATTTAATATTTTTAATACTATTTTCATATTCTTTAAAAATTTAAAATATTGTCTATAAATTTAATAAGATTTAACGTTCAAACAATACTATAAATCTATAAAGGTAGAAATCATTAAAAGTTATGCTTTAAAACTATCCGCTGAGGTTGCTTGATTTAATTCAGCATAAATTTAACTATTCTTCAATTCCGAAAATTATGCTTAATTTGAAGTTGAACTACAAAAAAAAGCATGCTGCATTTTAAGAAAAATGGCCTTTGGAAGTATGACCCACAATTCTAAATTTAGTTTCGCAAAATTTCAAAAATTAATTTTCTAGTCTTAACGAGTCAAATTTTCAAAAACCAGAAAAGTTAAATCGAAAGTGAAAAATCTAACATATGTTGCTTGTATTTATAACTGTTAAAATTTTCAAGTAGTTATAGTTTAAAATTCCAAATTTTTTTCAATAGTTTTAAAAGTAATAAAAGTCAAAAATAGTGAAAAAAAAATTTCATTCAATAGTTAAAGATTCAATAGTTTAAAATTTTCTAAGTTTATTAGCATTTTACAAAAGGAAAGTTTCCAACATCTGTTGCTTGCATTTATAACGTTTAAAATAAATATTTATCAAAAAATAGATTTTGCTGTCAAAAAAAAATTGTTGAATCTCCACATTTGAATTAAATAAAATTGCAACGTAAAAAACACAGTGCATTTAAAGTGATTAACTGTTCTACAATATAATGGACGGAAACCGATATGCTGACAATCTAAGAACGTTTTGTACTCTGATGTTCGACTCTTATAAGCTATCAAATTTGTTAATAAAAAGACCAAAAAATAAACTAAACACAAGTTTTATTTCTGTTCAAGACAAAGAACACACTTTTACAAATAGCATTTCTTAAGACTCAAACAATAGTTCATTCATTACAAAATTATTCAATGCAAAATACTAAAAACATTCGCCACTAAATTTGTTTAGGGAAAAATTTTAAACATATTATTATTACTATTTTTTTACTCTTCAGCTGGAGATTTATTAATAGATAATTATATTAACAAAGGGGGTAGTGTTAATCTAGTGATCATTTCTAAAATTATTGTAATAAAAATTTACACATTTTTTAAGTATAAACATTTGAATGTAATATATTTAAGTAACGCAACTTAATATTTATGAAAGTTATTTTTCGGTTATTTTAAAAAATTTAAGATTTTAGCAATGAAGTTTAAAATTTTATTCCACAGATCTGAATTTTTACATAATCTCATTTTTATGAAAGCCAAAATAGAATGAATCATTTTGGAGAATAGGTTTCTTCAATGGATCCAAATTGTCATTTTAAAAATGGGTCAAATTCAATTTCAAGCATAAGCTACAATAAAAATTTAAAAGTTTTGTATCAATTTTAAACAGAAATAAGTATTTATTTATAAAAATATGAAATCAACAGGGTACATTGTTAGTATAATTTTTAAACTAGTTTTCCTATTACCATTAAAAGGTGTTTTTAAATGTAGAAAACTATTACCGAATAAATAAAACTGCATTGCCTTACAAATCATATTTATAATTAAAATATATCAGTAAATTGAGAAATCCAGGGAACAAAACTCTTTAAGCTTTAAGACGAAGAACTGATTAATTTATTTAGAAAATTTTTATTTCGACAAATCATTTCATGTATCTTAGAGAATTTTAAAAAATATTTATACTTCTTCAGCGATCTTTGATTTACTACTAAATAAACTAGAAGTATAAGCCAGTATTCATTTAAAAAAAAAAGAATTTATACTAAGAGCATTTTTAGTGGAGAATTGTGTACACAAAAGGGTTTTAAACTAATAAATATTCAAGGCACGTAACAATCCACTTACACCAATATAACATAGACACAAAACATTAAAGTTTAAATTTCATACACCATTGTAATGTAAAGAAATATGATACATTTGTTATTAACTACATACTGTTTCAGTACTCAATTAAAATAAAATTTCAAAACAGTTTCAGTCATGCTAATCTAGCTGATACAAGATATTTAAGTAAAACATTTTAGCTTTAGGAAAGCGCAATTTCGTTAATTTCAACACTAAAATTAAGTTTGAAGTGAATAAGAATTTAAAATTGCTGATCAATTTACTTCGCAGCACTATATTTGCCTCTTTGTTTGAAGGTAAATTTTCCATACATTAAAAACATTTCAATTAAATTTAGGCGTATAAAGATTCGTATATAATGTACAGTAGGGAACCGATTATCCGGAACGATCGGGACCATCGATATTCCGGATAACTGATTTTTCCGGTTTTCTGAATCGCTACAAAAAGCCGTTTTTTTTATAGTTAAACCCAAATGAAAAAAAAATTGGAAATAATCTTAAAAAGAAGAAAAAACGATGAAGTAATACACTAATGATTATTTCCAAAATGATGGTAAGGTAAACATCTTTCAAAAAAGGACGAAAAGTCCTAAAATCTTATGAGGAAAAAAAATTTAAAAAAAAAAAAAAAATGACGGGAAAACTAATCGAATTTCGTTCCGGTTTTTTGGTTTTCCGGTTTTCTGATTTCCGGATAACGGGTTCTGTACTGTATTTATTAAAATTTAAAAATTCCCTTTTGTTTATTCAAAAATGTTTTACCTCTTAAAATTGAAACTTTAGAAAATCTATTCAATGCAAATACTGTCAAATTAATCGAACTTCGGATAAGTTTTACCTTAAGGCATGCTAGAATTATTAACTGTTTTATTATTAATTGTTTAATAATAACTAATTTTTATTAACTGTTTTAGCACATAACATTAATAACAGTCGGATTCAAAACTTATCTGCACAGTCATAATTGTTTTAAAAAATGGCAATTATAAAAGTTCAATTAAGTAGTTTATATATTTAAAGGTTTAGACCTTCATTTTAAGATTTTTTTATAAAACTTTCTTATTTAAATTTATTGCATGCCTAAGGTTTTACAATTAAATTTAGACTACATTTTTAACTCTAATTTTAAGAGCATTCGTCACATTAATCCACATAACGCTTCGATCGCTTTTTTGACGAGTTCTTTAAACGATTACATACTGTCGTAATCTAAAGTTCTACGAGTGGTCTAGTTCTACTAAGCAATTTTAAAGTGCCGGGGATTTTCAGGGCACGAACTTGCAATGTAAAATTGCAGTCCAGGACCTTACTACCCAGCCCTTTAAAATTCGATGAACGCTCTAGTTCAAAAGTTACTTTTAACAGCATCTAGGCTATTCGGCTGTAAGTGCTAGAGTTCTTCGGAGACTTCAGGTCACGAACATGCAATCTAGCATCGCAGTCCAGGACCCCCAGAACTCCAAAAGGCACCCCGGCCCTTACTGCAGGGACACTGTTACTGCAGCAGGGTACACAAGGGAATCGAAAAGCTTCGAAACTGCTGAACGAGTGTAGGGCTCGAAGAGTGAGCAGAACGGCCGTCTACCGATACCAATTCGAACTCTACGCTTGTCGAGCTGTCTCGGAATTTTTCGTTTCACACAAGTTTACCTGGGTTGTAAAACTATGTCCCTATATCGAGTTTCCGATAGATCGCAGATTTATGGGGGGTAAACATTTAAATTACTCTAACAGAGCTAAAGTTCTCAAAGAAAGTATAATTACTAAACATTTATCTTAGTACATCGGGCTGATCGTTCTCCTGCTTCGAAGGACAGGGTAAAGTTTATCTATATATATAAAAAAAGACTCAATTGCTTAAAGATAAAAATTAAAAATCTTTAAACTGTCTCTGCCAAAGTTAATGTTTAAAAGTTATTTTAAAGTAAAATAAACCTTTATTTTTCCTGCAACGCTACTTAAAACTTACTCTTAATTTTCAATTATCTTATTATGTACTTTAGAGTCGTACCGTTTAAAAAATAGCAACTGTCTGGGAATTATAGCTATAAAACACTTCAGGCATACAGATTTCCACTTAATATGCTTTAATATGTTTAAGAATTTAATTTGCTGAACTAATAATTTCTGAAGATTTATATATGTTCACGATATTTTACTTTAAGAAATTTCAACCGGAGTAGGCAAACCTTCTTATAAAATTAAAAGGCTTGAACTGGAAATTGTACAAGCTTTTAATGATTATGATCGAATTCTACTTATGTTTTGAATTAAAAATATTTCGCATAACCACTGGGTTTTTATTTTTGTTACAAATAGTTTTGTGTAGCACAAAAGCTCTTATGCTTATGTGCGGGACTCCAAACGCAAGGCGATACGTAAATTCAGCAATGCTTTAATTTTAAATTTTAATTTCAGACAAATATAAAACATTGAAATGCAAGACAAGACATTGAAACATCTCTTCATATTTATTTTCTATTTAAATAAATTTTTCAAACATAACAAGTTTCTTCTACACATAAAATTTGATAACTTTAATGTCAAAAACAAAACTAGAAGAAAATCAAGTAGGGCTAGAACTATATGCCAACCTGATTTTTCTGTGAAGTGGATTTAAACTTACGGTTTGAATGAAGTTTGTTATAAGTAATCTCAAATGTAATAAGCGCAGTTTTTAAGTTATTTCAAGTTTATGAGAATTTCGACTAAAAGATCTTTTTTTACAGCCGTTCGAAAATTAGTTTTACTTTGAAGTGACCTTTGAAACAAAATTTTTATAAAACTTAAGTAATTAAAAGTGTGATTTATACTAAACATAAAATTTCCAGTTAAATTACCAATTTTTAAGGCAGATACTATTCAGTCCAATCCCAATTATAATTTTACTCAAAAGTACACTGTTATATTCTATTCTTATTCTACCACTGAAGCAGCGAATTAGTGTTATATGGTTGATGTTAAGATATGTTACGTGATTATTGAACAGTTAGTCATTATTTTGCTACTTCAGCAGCGAATAAGCATCATTAAAAGTCATAAATTTGTCATAGACAAAATAAAATTTATCTTTAATTTACCATGAGTAATTTGACTGGACTGAATAGCGTATTACCTCTACAAAATTAGCTACTTGCTAAAATAAACTTATTATTTTGGTTTAAAATAACAGAGACAAGAACGAATTTTGTTGGTAACTTGTCTTATTAATTTTCACTTTAAACTGCAATTACACCACAATACTATAAAATCCTTGGATTTAAGCTAAATCAAAGACTAATTGCTTAGAAGTATTTATTTTAGAATTTTTTTAACTCATCTTAATGTAAGTATGTAGACTATTAAAAATGCTTCATTTTATAATTAAATTTAAAACTGTATTTAGGTTTTTACATTACAAGGCGGGAAATTAACTTAATTGGAAAAAATTATAGTTAAATCCATTTCTTTTTAATGACAAAAAATATAGTCCAATTTGAAAGTAAACAAATTTTATTTTTATCAATGCCCTTTTGTAGTTCTATAAATTTTGTATCTAACGATGTGGTTTTAAGTTCAGTTTCTGATATACACAAAATCAGATACTTCTGAATTAAGTAGGACTTTAAAGGTATTCTTAGTCTGTTTTGTGCATCGAGAAAAATAGTAAAAATTTCCAACCAAAAATACTTAATAATTAAATAAAGTTTCGAGAAATTTTCTAATTGAATTTTTTTAGAATCGCACCCTTTTTATCCTAAATTTGAATGGCTTTTTAAAACACGCTAATAAAGAGCTACATTCGATGCAGTTAGTTTGAAAGCACTGAATTTTTTAAAAAAAATACTTTTTCATAATAAAAATGCTAGTTGCTTCTAATTATTGGATCAATCTAAATTTAGATAAGTTTGGCAAAATTAACGCTTAGGTAGGAATTTCCAAAGACTAAGTGATAGCCCGATGTTTCCAATCATACGAGCCTAAATGATAACTTTAAATAGAGAGTAAAATATCTAAGAGTTAAAATCTTACAATTTTCTTGATGACTACATAAAACGTTCCAGAACATCTTACTTAGAATTGAAATTTTGGCTAAGGAAAGAATTTTTCACTAGTTTCGATATTCGGTGGTGAGGAAATCAACGCATCTGGAGATTTTATCTACATGACCGATATTTTTGTTAAAATAATTTTTGCATCTAACAGTATTTGCTTTAACCAATATTTATTTGAATGTTGTACATATTAAAGAGTTGGCCGTGAAGGTTTAAAGAATAAATAGAAAATTAAAATTCATAAAAATCTGCTCTTTGGCATTCATAATATAGGAATATTACAGCCAAAATTTAAAGTAAATGTTTTTAATTACATCCTAATGTTTTAAAAACATTCTCTAGACTATTCATTAAAAAAAAGGAAAGTAACAAAAGATCTTAAATATCTGTATCAGTCTAGTACAATGTATAGGCAATTAATGTGAAGTGTACAAACTAAAACAATTCCACAATATAAAGAGTTCTTGACCTGTATAGAGTCCTTATTCAACTCGTTACGTCTGCTACTCATTTTCATGTAGTAAACCATTTTGTGCAGATTCTAGAAGATTTTTCTCTTTGCATGAGAGACTCAGTTTCACGAAGTAAAGCATAGGTGAATATTCCAATAGAAGTGGCAAATTCTAAAAACTAAACAAATTGTCAATTTCATAATTTGAGATAAACACAAATAGAAATTTCTTTTAAAAATTACTTAAATATTAGCTGAACAACAGTTTAAACCTGACGTGTACTCTTTTACGAAATGAATCTTAAAAATAAAACTTGAGGCTTCTTAAACAGTCACTAAAATTGATGAGACTTAAATTTATGTCATTGTAAGAAAGAAAAATTAAACTCACACGAAATGCAATTAAAGTTCAATAATTACTATTTACTCAGAACTCTGCAAGGAACTACTTAGAAAAAAAAATATTTACAGTTAATAAAAGTTTAACAGTTTAAGTTTGAGACCTAACTAGATTAATATATAGTATTTGAATCTGGGGTATCATGATTTTATTTATACAATGGTACTTAAATAAAATATGGCTAAAGACAGAAGTATATATAACTTTCTTTAAAAAAAAGTTTTAAAGTTCTCTTTGTTATTTACTGAAAGCTAACTTCGACTTTTAAATTTAGATCAGTGTCTCAAATTTAATAAGAACTGTTAAAAGTAATTTTATTTTAAGATTTGTCTTAACACTGTCGCTGTTTAATTTATCAAAGTAATTAAAAAACTACGTAGTTTAATTACATAATTTCAAATATATATATTTTACAATTTTAATGCACAAAAATCTTTTATTCAAGTTTTTCTAAATATAAAAAAAGATAAAAAGCTTGCCTGAAATTGTAAGAATGATAAAAGCAAAACTTTGAAATTCTTTCGCTCAATGATTTATTTTATGACAAAAAAAAATGCTGTAATTATTCAATTTGCTTAAAAATTTACAGCCAGAAATAGAGTTTGCTCCCTCAAGAACTTTACTAAACAAATATTTCACAGAATATATTACAGATAACATACACACCTTGATGCGATGTCCTTAAAGTCAGAATTCATTCCTGGTTGAGTCTGTTAATCAAGAAACGGTTGATAGTCCCTTTCATCCTGTGAGATTCTCCGTTCAGCTATAGTCTGGTTTCGAATGATAGGTTAAGAAGCTCTTCTGAAAAAGATTAGAAAAGACTCAATAGCTTAAGATTGAAATTTAAAAATCTCTAAACTATCTCCGCTGAAATTAGTGTTTAAAAGTAATATTAAAGCAAAAAATTTAATCCTTTTTTTCTCCTTAGAACTTGAACTCTTAATTTTGTAAATCAAACTATGAATTATTGTATTATGTACTTTAGAGTCTGACCTCTCACAAAATAGCACTGCTGACCTATTATAACTAAAAAACACTTCAGGTAAACATTTTAAAACTACTTTAGAGGAAACCTGTGTAGGAATTTAATTTCCTGAAGTAATAAAATATCATGTAAATTTTCAGAAATTACTTCAAGCCTTTTTATTTTATAAGAAGGTTCGCCTACTCTAGTTAAAATTTGTTAAACTGGAAATTGTATAAACTTTTAATGTTTATGATCAAATTTTATTTAATTTTTTGAATTAAAAATATTCTGCATATGCGCTGGGTCTTTCCTTTAGTTACAAATAGTTTTGTATAGCTCGAAGGCTTGTATTATGAGATGTGCTGGGCTACAAACGCAAGACGATACGTTAATTCAGCAACTTTTACATTACTTTAGTTTTAAAATGTTTCAAGCAAATACAAGACATTGAAATACAAGAGATTGAAAACATCTTTTTATATTTACTTTCTATTTAAAGTAATTTTTCAAATATAAAAAAAATTCTTCTACGCATAAAATTTCATGAAACTTAATTTTTTACTAGTTTCGTTTCTAACATTAAAGTAGGGCTAGAACTAAATGCCAATATGATTCTCTGTAAAATGGAATTTAGGCTTACGGTTTGAATGAAGTTTGCTGTAAGTGCTCTCAAATGTAATAAACGCAATTTGTAAGTTATTTTCAGTTTACGACAATTGCAACTAAAAGATCCTTTTCATAGTCATTTGTAAATTAGTTTTTACTTTGAAGAACTCACCGTGACTTTTGTAACAAAATTACTACAAAAATTTCGTCATTCAGATTGTTTTTAAATAAAATTGCCTGGTTAATTTACTAACTTTTCACAGTTTCTATTGAGCCCAATCCCAATTATAATTTTACTTTTATTCAAAAATGGAGTTTACTCTTATACTTATTCTACCACTGAAGCAGCGAATTAGTATTATGGTCAATGTTAAGGTGTGTTACGTGATTACTGAATAGTTAGTCATTATTCTGCTTGAACTGAACAGTTAGTCATTATTTTGCTACTCCAGCAGCGAATAAGTATCATTAAAACTCATAAATTTGTCATAGACTTAAAATTTATCTTCAATTTACGTTAAGTACTTTAACTAGACTGAATAGCGCATTACCTTGACAAAATTAGCTACTTGCTAAAATAATTCTTTTATTTATTTTAGTTTAAAATTACATTGAAAATTCCTGAGCCAAGTGCGCATTTTGTTGGCAATTTGTTTTATTAAATTTTACTTTCAACTGCAATTACACCACAACACTATAAAATCATTGGATTTAAGCTCAATCAAAACACGACGAACCGTTAAGTGCTTATATTAGAATTGCTTTTATTAACTTACTTTAATGCAAATATAGACTATTAAAAATGCTTAATTATCTAATTAAGTTCGAAACAAATATAGTTTTTAGGTTTCTCCATTCGTATAGTCTCCATCAATTCTGCGCTAGGAGGGGCTTAATTTAGCTGTAAACCTTTTTTTTCTTTACAAAGTCCATTTATTTTTCATAACTAAAAATCAAGTTTAACATGAAAGTAAACAAATTGTATGTTTTATCAATACCCTATAACTGTTTAGAGATTTTCTACAAATTTCGTATCAAACGATGTGATTTTAAGAGCTTAGTTTGAAATACTCAAAATCAGATACTGTCGAATTGTTAAATACAATTCTCAAGAGAGATTTTAAACAGTTTTATTTCAGATTTTATTCTTGGAAAATTGATTGAAACGAAAAGTCAGATTACAATCTTAAATTTCGTTAGTAATTAAATAACATTCACTACATTAAGAAAATCTGTTTTCCGTTCAATTTTGTTTATCAGTAAAGAACTACTTTAAATGCTTATATCTTACACAACTTCAAAAAATGCTCCAAAAATGACTTAACTATACTGAATTTTGTATACGTTTTGCACAAACGTAATACAAACAGTTTATAAAATGGAACCAGGCAAAAATTTAGAAATTAGTTTTAAGAATTTCTCCTTTTTATCTTAAAGTTGAATCTCTTTAAAAACACACGAATAAAGAGTTACAAAGAATGTGTTTAGTTTGAAAGAGTTGAATTTTAAACACTTTCTTACAATAAAAATACTAGTTGCTCCTAATTATTGAGTCAATCTAAATTTAGATAAGTTGGGCAAAATTAACAGTTAGGTAAGAATTTCCAAAGACTAAGTGATCGCCCAATGTTTCCAATCAGACTAGTCTGAATGATAACTTGAAATAGACAGTAAAATTTCTAAGTAAAATATTATAACTTTCTAGATGACTACATAAAACGTTCAACATCTTACTTAGAGTTAAAATTTCGAGTACGGAAAGACTTAAAAAAAGGAAAGTAACATCAAAGATCTGAAATATCTGGATCAGTCTAATACGATGTGTAGGCAATTAATGTGAAGTGTACAAACTAAAACAATTCTACAAAATACAAAGAGTTCTTGACCTGTATAGAGTCCTTATTCAACTAGTTACATTTGCTACTCATTTTCATGTAGTAAACCATTTTGTGCAGATGCTAGTAGAAGATTTTTCTCTTTGCATCAGAGGCTCAGTTTCACGAAGTAAAGCGTAGGTGAATATTCCAATAGAAGTGGTTAATTCTAAAAAGGAAACAAATTGTCAATTTCATAATTTGAGATAAACACAAATAGAAATTTCTTTTAAAAATTACTTAAATGTTACCTGAACAACAATTTAAACCTGACGTGTACTCTTTTGCGAAATGAATCTTAAAAATAAAACTTAAGGCTTCTTAAACAACCTGTCAGTAAAATTGACGAGACTTAAATTTATGTCATTGTAAGAAAGAAAAAATTAATCTCACACGAAATGCAATTAAAGTATAATAATTACTATTTACTCAGAACTCTCCAAGGTACTACTTAGAAAAAACAATATTTAAAGTTAATAAAAATTTAACAGTTTAAGTTTGAGACCTAACTAGATTAATATATAGTATTTGAATCTGGGGTATCATTATTTTATATATACAATGGTACTTATATATACTTTTTGTCTTCAGCCAGATTTTATTTAACTTTCTTTCAAAAAATTTTAAAGTTTTCTTCGTTATTTACTGAAATCGAACTTCAACTTTTAAATTTAGATTAGTGTCTCAAATTTAATAAGAAGTGTTAAAAGTAATTTTATTTTAAGAATTGTCTTAACACTGTCGCTGTTTAATTTATCAAAGTAATTAAAAAACTACGTAGTTTTATTACATAATTTCAAATATATATATTTTAGAATTTTAATATACAAAAATCTTTTATTCAAGTTTTTTTAAATATAAAATTAGATAAAAAGCTTGCCCGAAATTGTAAGAATGATAAAAGCAAAACTTTGAAATTCCTTCGTTCAATGATTTATTTTATGAAAAAAACACTTTAAATATTCAATTTGCTTAAAAATTCACAGCCAGAAATAGAGTTGAGCCTCAAGAACTTGACTAAACAAATATTTCACAGAATATAATACAGCTAACATGCACACCTTAATGCGGTGTCCTTGATGACAGAATTAATTTCTGGTTGAGTCTGTTAATCAAGAAACTGTTGATAGTCCCTTTCATGCTGTGAAATTCTCTGTTCAGCTATAGTCTGGCTTCGAAGGATACGTTAAGAAGCTCTTCTGAAAAAGATTAGAAAAGACTCAATAGCTTAAGATTGAAATTTAAAAATCTCTAAACTGTCTCTGCCGAAATTAGTGTTTAAAAGTAATATTAAAGCAAAAAATTAAATCCTTATCTTTTCCCTTAAAACTTGAACTCTTAATTTTGTAAATCAAGCTATGAATTATTGTATTATGTTCTTTAGAGTCTGACCTCTCACAAAATAGCACTGCTGACCTATTATAACTAAAAAACACTTCAGGTAAACACTTTAAAACTACTTTAGAGGAAACCTGTGTAAGAATTTAATTTCCTGAACTAATAATTTCTGAAAATTTATGATATTTTACTTCAAGCCTTTTGATTTTATAAGAAGGTTCGCCTACTCGTTAAAATTTGTTAAACTGGAAATTGTATAAACTTTTAATGTTTATGATCAAATTTCATTTAATTTTTTGAATTAAAAATATTCTGCATATGCGCTGGGTCTTTCCTTTAGTTACAAATAGTTTTGTATAGCTCGAAGGCTTGTATTATGAGATGTGCTGGGCTACAAACGCAAGACGATACGTTAATTGAGCAACTTTTGCATTACTGAAGTNAGTTTTAAAATTTTTCAGGCAAATACAAGATATTGAAATGCAAGAGATTTAAAACATCTTTTTATGCTTGCTTTCTATTTAAAGTAATTTTTCAAATGTAAAAAATAATTCTTCTACATATAAAATTTCATTAGCTTAATTTTCTACTAGTTTCGTTTTTAACATTAAAGTAGGGTTAGAACAAAATACCAATCTGATTCTCTGTAAAATGGAATTTAGGCTTACGGTTTGAATGAAGTTTGTTATAAGTGCTCTCAAATGTAATAAACACAATTTGTAAGTTATTTTCAATTTACGACAATTGCAACTAAAAGATCCTTTTCATATTTACTTTGAAGAACTCACTGTGACTTTTGTAACAAAATTACTACAAAAATTTCGTAATTCAAATTTTTTTTTAATAAATTTGCCCGGTTAATTTACTAACTTTTCAACAGTTTCTATTGAGCCCAATCCCAATTTTACTTTTATTCAAAAAAGGAGTTTACTCTTATACTTATTCTACCACTGAAGCAGCGAATTAGTGTTATGGTTAATGTTAAGGTGTGTTACGTGATTACTGAATAGTTAGTCATTATTTTGTTTGAACTGAACTGTTAGTCATTATTATACTCCAGCAGCGAATAAGTATCATTAAAACTCATAAATTTGTCATAGACTTAAAATTTATCTTCAATTTACGTTAAGTACTTTGACTAGACTCAATAGCGCATTACCTTGACAAAATTAGCACCTGCTAAAATAATTTTTTTATTTTAGTTTAAAATTACGTTGAAAATTCCCGAGCCAAGTGTGCATTTTGTTGACAATTTGTTTTATTAAATTTTACTTTCAACTGCAATTACACCACAATACTATAAATTCATTGGATTTAATTTCAAAACACGAAGAACCCTTAAGTGCTTATATTAGAATTGCTTTTATTAACTTATTTTATTTCAAGTATATAGACTATTAAAAACGTTTAATTATCTAATTAAGTTTGAAGCAAAACTCGTATTTTGGTTTCTACATTCTTATAGTCTCCATCACTTCTGCGCTAGGAGGGGCTTAATTTAGCTGTAAACCTTTTTTTTCTTTACAAAGTCCATTTATTTTTCATAACTAAAAATAAAGTTTAACATGNGTTTGAAGCAAAAATCGTATTTAGGTTTCTACATTCTTATAGTCTCCATCACTTCTGCGCTAGGAGGGGCTTAATTTAGCTGTAAACCTTTTTTTCTTTACAAAGTCCATTTATTTTTCATAACTAAAAATAAAGTTTAACATGAAAGTAAACAAATTGTATTTTTTATCAATACCCTATAACTGTTTAATTAGAGATTTTCTACAAATTTCGTATCAAACGATGTGATTTTAAGAGCTTAGTTTGAAATACTCAAAATCAGATACTTGCGAATTATTAAATACAATTCTCAAGAGAGATTTTAAACAGTTTTATTTCAGATTTTATTCTTGGAAAATTGTTTGAAACGAAAAGTCAGATTACAATCTTAAATTTCGTTAGTTATTAAATAACATTCACTACATTAAGAAAATCTGTTTTCCGTTCAATTTTGTTTATCAGTAAAGAAAATTATCTTACACAACTATGAACACACACAACTATGAATTATATCTTACACAATTTCAGATATTTCTTAACTACACTGAATTTTGTATACGTTTTGCAAAAACGCAATACAAAAAGTTGATAAAAATGGAACCAGGCAAAAATTTAGATATTAGTTTTCAGAATATCTCCCTTATCTTAAAGTTGAATCTCTTTAAAAACACGTTAATGAAGAATTACAACGAATGTGTTTAG